CACCTGCAGCACTGGTGGCACACCTGCAGCACTGGTGGTACACCTGCAGCACTGGTGGTACACCTGCAGCGCTGGTGGTACACCTGCAGCACTGGTGGCACACCTGCAGCACTGGTGGTACACCTGCAGCACTGGTGGTACACCTGCAGCACTGGTGGTACACCTGCAGCACTGGTGGTACACCTGCAGCACTGGTGGCACACCTGCAGCGCTGGTGGTACACCTGCAGCACTGGTGGCACACCTGCAGCACTGGTGGTACACCTGCAGCACTGGTGGTACACCTGCAGCACTGGTGGCACACCTGCAGCGCTGGGGGTACACCTGCAGCACTGGTGGCACACCTGCAGCACTGGTGGTACACCTGCAGCACTGGTGGTACACCTGCAGCACTGGTGGTACACCTGCAGCACTGGTGGTACACCTGCAGCACTGGTGGTACACCTGCCTGACGTGATGTTTTTCTGGGAAACTTTCAGCGGAAAGTTTCCCAGAAAGGGAAACTAAACCTCCTTGAGTTACTAGAATGTAAACCCCCTCATCTTACGTCTTCACTATATACTATCTTCACTGTATATGCAATCATCAGCACCATAACCATCTCCACCACTCATTATCTTCATTACTGTAATTTACTTCCCACGGCACTCAGAAAAGTTCACAGAAAACTCTACGGAAATCACGCGCCCGATTTATTTGAAGACCCTATGATGACTTCTTATATGGACTGTGAAGACCATATAAGACTTCGTAAATTCAAGGCCGAGCGTCTAGCCTCCAACTTTGCGCAAACAATATATACATAGGTATGTATTATGTATCTTTACCTATTAAAGAGAAGGTCTATTTGCGCCAAATTAAAAAAACAGACGCTTGGGGCCAGCCTCACGAAAAATATGTAAGGGGGGAGGGGAATGGTCTAGGGGTAAGGAAAGGAAATAGGCAGGTCGGGGGGGGGGGGGGGAATTGGGGGGATTGAAGGGGGGGATTGGGGGATTGGGGGGGATTGGTGGATGTTGCGACTTCCCTGGAGTTATTAGTTAATCTTAACTAAAATTTAGGGGGGGGGAGGTTATCTTGAGATGATTTCGGGGCTTTATCGTCCCCGCGGCCCGGTCCTCGATCAGGCCTCCTTTTTGTTACACAACCCCCGGGAAGCAGCCCGTAGCAGCTGTCTAACTCCCAGGTACCTATTTACCTGCAGGTGCATCAGGGTGAAAGAAACATTTTGCCTATTTGTCTCCGCCTCCACCGGGGATCGAACCCGGAACCTCAGAACAACGAATCCGAAGCGCTGTCCATCTAGCTGCCAGGCGGGAGGGTAAGAAGATGGGGTAAATGAGGGGTGGGAGGATAGGGAGGGTAGGGAGATGGGGGGGGGGGGTTGGGGGGAAGGTAGGGGGTGATGGGGAGGGTAGGAAGATGGGGAGGAATGGGGGAGAGGGTAGGCAAATGAGGGTGAGCGAAGGGGAGGGAGGATGGTTGGGAAAAGTACAAAGTGGAGGAGATGAAGGGGAAGAAGAGGATGGGGAGATGGGAAAAAAGAGAGGGTGAATAGGGGGGGGGGATACAGGGAGACCGGGCACAGCGGGGTACCCACACTAGTATACCCATACACTAGTATACCCACACTAGTATTCCCATACACTAGTATACCCATACACTAGTATACCCATACACTAGTATACCCATACACTAGTATACCCATACACTAGTATACCCCATACACTAGTATTCCCATACACTAGTATATCCATACACTAGTATACCCATACATCAAAATACTCGCGTATTATATCTTGAAATGAACTTGCTTCTCTATTTACAATGGCTCTCGTGAGGCATCATGACACAGTTGCCAGGTGTGGTGGCACTCAACACGTGGCTCGCAAACTGCACCAGAACAGCTTTGGCAGTCTTTCTGATCTTCATTCTGAACATTTGGCAATGGCAATTCAGTCTAATAGTTGTGTGTAGGCCATTGATATAAGAGGCTATATATTGTTCAACACTTTATATATTTTTCACGTTAAATAAATAACAAATTTAAAAAATCGTCTTTAATTCACTTCACTGGATTCTAAACTACAGACACGTAGGTTGGTGCAGTTTGTTTAAGGGGGAAGTATACAGTGTGCGAGGCAATATATGTATCCCGCCGGGAGGTTGGCCCTTTCTCTCTAGTTCATGGCTTGAGAAGTATCGGCTAAATTACGTACCATGCCATGTTTATTGAGGAGTAAGTTACAGGAGTGGCTTCTGGGAAGTCTAAAGGTTCGGGGCTTAGTGCGTCTTGGAGTCTCTCTGGCTTTTTACGGAACAGTTTCAAACTAGGAACACCTTGCTGGGGCGAGGGTGGGAGTGTTTGGTCTGAGGTTGGGCTCTTGTGAACCTTTCGGAGAGCTGGGAACACCACAGGAGTTTTTTTGAGTTATTTAGAATAATGTACTCATGTAAATAGACCAGTACTTAAGTCAGCTCTCAGTGTATTCACCAAGCAACGGGGTATAGCTCTCTGTTTATTTATGAGAGTTGAACAGCCCGCTCTCAAAATAAAGGTTATGTGAACATTGAACAGATGCTCGTTAAACCAGCAGAAATGTCCGATATTATGCAATCCGTCCTCCAAACAAAGACCCAAAGTCCATTCCATGCACCCACCAAACCCCCAGTTTATGAATGAAAAACGGTTTTCACACGACTAACAACTGATGACGTTCGAACACTTCCGGAACAAGTTCTTCACTGACGAATTTTGTTCGAATCACAACGCTGTAAATGCTTCACCCACGTACTACAAATACAAATAATCGCCAACAGAACCTAAACACCTAACCTAACTTAACCAGTGAATAAATATGCACAATATGCAAATATATTATAATATTAATTTATATTTGAGAAAATTCCTGTTTTGAATGAACAGCATGTTAAAATTTATGACTGCGTTTTTGGGGTCGTCCGCTGGATGGAATAGACTTGGTCCGAGAACGGGTTGTTTTATGAATAAAAAACACTTTAACACCTGTCCTCAGGCCAGGCTCGTTAAAACAGCGTCTCCTAGGACGCATTATTTGTGCACTGTGCATGAAAAATAAGTTTCTTCTCACGTATAAAGTAATATTACATATTAAAGTCTATATATAGTTAGGGGTAGGTTAGGTTAGGTTAGGTGTTTAGGTTAGGTTAGGTGTTTAGGTTAGGTTAGGTGTTTAGGTTAGGTTAGGTGTTTAGGTTAGCTTAGGTGTTTAGGTTAGCTTAGGTGTTTAGGTTAGCTTAGGTGTTTAGGTTAGCTTAGGTGTTTAGGTTAGGTTAGGTGTTTAGGTTAGCTTAGGTATTTAGGTTAGGTTAGGTGTTTAGGTTCTGTTTGTGATTATCTGTATTTGAAGCATTTAAAGTATTGTGGTTCGAACAAAGGTTGTCAGCGAAGCACAGTTCGAAAAAAATTTGAACGTAAGTAATCGTGGATAATGTATAATATATTTCAGTTCATAAACAGGTGAACAGCGACCGATTTCAAGGGATTTTGACCATTGTGTTTATGATGAAGGGATGAATAATTTACAGTGTCCCTAGAAAGTTATACTGTTGTGAATAATATTTTAAGTTAGGACAAAAATATGCCATTAGCTAATTGTAATAATTTATATATAAGCTATATTTAATTAATTTATAAGATAATAATTAAATTAGCGAACATTTAATACACGGGGAGCATGTATATAGAATTTTTGTATGTTTTTAGGGAAAAATGAATAAATTTATCTCGATTTTGTTTAATAATTAATCTTGTGCTTCGAAGCGGTAAAGATTTCGAGTATACATCCAATATATATATATATATATATATATATATATATATATATATATATATATATATATATATATATATATATATACATATATATATATATATATATATATATATATATATATATATATATATATATATATATATATATATATATATATATATATATATATATATGCTCATGCTCACTGCATCCATGGTTCCTGCCCGCCATCTGAGGAGCTGGAAGAGTTGTACAACTTGTGACAAGCAGCCTTGTACCCTGCATGTAATCAATATTGTAACTTTTTTTGTGTAATGACATTTTCAAATAAAGTTAGATAAATATACACACATACCAAAATAACAGGGGTGGTAGGAGAAGAAAATATCAAAGTGTTCAGTGAGGATCCACAAGGTCTTCTCTGAGTACTCTTTCTTTTCTTCTCCGAGGCTATGGGTCCCTACATTTGCACCAGAGGTGGTACCCCTTCTATATATATATATATATATATATATATATATATATATATATATATATATATATTAAAAATTTTATGTAGATAATTAAAAAAGTGTAAATATAATCCAACAAACGCACTATTAATTAAGAACTAGCGAATAAAATCCCACAAACACAGATTTAGTTAAGAACGAGAGAATAAAACCCACCATAATATTAATAAATCAGACCTCAAGGATAATAATAATAATAGTTTAACGACTCAGTTATTTTTTTTTTTACTTTTAATACATTTTTGTTTTCATGTCTGAGAGAAAGCCTCGTCTGGTGCTTTGATCTACGGCTGGCTGGCCGAATAGATCCCAAACTTAAGTAAACTCATTTTCTGCCGCTAAATTGTTCATTAAACCATGTAGATGAGCCACAGACTGGACACGTTGGTGGTGGTGGTGTTCTATGCCAGTCCCTCCTCAGGTTAGGTTTGTCCATGCAGCGGCCGACCCCAAAGCCCCATTCGTTAATGTTAACGTAAAGCGTATTTAAAACCGATAAATTCAAAAAATATAAGTTAGCATTATTATATATTATAATTTGGTGTATAATTAGGCCTAAATTTGGTGAGACAAGGTGTTTATAGGCTCTGTTGTTAATGATTTGTTTTACGTCGGTGAAGCCTTTACAGAGCTTCGATTCGAACAGAGTTCGTCAGCAACGAAGCACTCTTCGAGCAATGTTCGAATGTCATCAATTATAAATCGTATGCAAAGTGTTTTTCACCTAAAAACAGGGGGCTAGGCGTCTGGATGGGGTTAGGCGTCAGGATGGGGTTAGGCGTCTGGAGGGGGCTAGGCGTCTGGATGAGGTTAGGCGTCAGGATGGGACTAGGCGTCAGGAGGAGGGTAGGCGTCTGGAGGGGACTAGGCGTATGGATGGGGCTAGGCGTCTGGAGGGGGCTAGGCGTATGGATGGGGCTAGGCGTATGGATGGGGCTAGGCGTCAGGAGGAGGGTAGGCGTCTGGAGGGGGCTAGGCGTCTGGAGGGAGCTAGGCGTCTGGAGGGAGCTAGGCGTCTGGAGGGGGCTAGGCGTATGGAGGGGCCTAGGCGTCTGGATGGGGCTAGGCGTCTGGATGGGGCTAGGCGTCTGGATGGGGCTATGCGTCTGGAGGGAGCTAGGCGTCTGGAGAGGGCTAGGCGAATGGATGGGGCTAGGCGTCTGGATGGGGCTAGGCGTCTGGATGGGGCTAGGCGTCTGGATGGGGCTAGGCGTCTGGATGGGGTTAGGCGTCAGGATGGGGCTAGGCGTCTGGATGGGGCTAGGCGTCTGGATGGGGTTAGGCGTCAGGATGGGGCTAGGCGTCAGGATGGGGCTAGGCGTCAGGATGGGGCTAGGCATCTGGATGGGGCTAGGCGTCTGGATGGGGGTTAGGCGTCAGGATGGGGCTAGGCGTCAGGAGGAGGGTAGGCGTCTGGAGGGAGCTAGGCGTCTGGATGGAGCTAGGCGTCTGGAGGGGGCTAGGCGTCTGGAGGGGGCTAGGCGTCTGGAGGGGGCTAGGCGTCTGGAGGGGGCTAGGCGTCTGGAGGGGGCTAGGCGTCTGAAGGGGGCTAGGCGTCTGGAGAGGGCTAGGCGTCTGGAGGGGGCTAGGCGTCTGGAGGGGGCTAGGCGTCTGAATGGATTAGGTAATAGTTTATGAGGACGCGCGCTCTTTTGGCGCCAGCCCGTCCTCATAAACATTACTCAATGTTTATGAGGACTCAATTAATCTTCAATTGATTGAAGACTGACTCTTCGATCAATGCTCTTCAATCTTGCATGAATGAAAAAACCCACAAAACTTTACATGTGGCTCACAACTAATTGAGTTCGAAATATTCTTCACTCTCTTCCTTCGTTCGAATCCCATCTCTACGAATGCTTCACTCCCGTACTGTAAATTAGCATAATTCCCAATATAATCAAAGCACCCAACCTGTTAAAGGCGTGGCTAAACGCAAAATTATGTATAATTCTCGAAAATTATTTTCCAAAGGGCTGCATGGCTTCATGCATGGTCGTGTGGCTTCGGGCATGGTCGTGTGGCTTCATGCATGGTCGTGTGGCTTCGGGCATGGTCGTGTGGCTTCGTGCATGGTCGTGTGGCTTCGTGCATGGTCGTGTGGCTTCGGGCATGGTCGTGTGGCTTCATGCATGGTCGTGTGGCTTCGGGCATGGTCGTGTGGCTTCGTGCATGGTCGTGTGGCTTCATGCATGGTCGTGTGGCTTCGTGCATGGTCGTGTGGCTTCATGCATGGTCGTGTGGCTTCGTGCATGGTCGTGTGGCTTCGTGCATGGTCGTGTGGCTTCATGCATGGTCGTGTGGCTTCATGCATGGTCGTGTGGCTTCGTGCATGGTCGTGTGGCTTCATGCATGGTCGTGTGGCTTCGGGCATGGTCGTGTGGCTTCATGCATGGTCGTGTGGCTTCGTGCATGGTCGTGTGGCTTCGTGCATGGTCGTGTGGCTTCGTGCATGGTCGTGTGGCTTCATGCATGGTCGTGTGGCTTCGTGCATGGTCGTGTGGCTTCGTGCATGGTCGTGTGGCTTCGGGCATGGTCGTGTGGCTTCGTGCATGGTCGTGTGGCTTCGTGCATGGTCGTGTGGCTTCGTGCATGGTCGTGTGGCTTCGTGCATGGTCGTGTGGCTTCGTGCATGGTCGTGTGGCTTCATGCATGATCCTGTGGCTTCGTGCATGGTCGTGTGGCTTCGTGCATGGTCGTGTGGCTTCATGCATGATCCTGTGGCTTCGTGCATGGTCGTGTGGCTTCGTGCATGGTCGTGTGGCTTCATGCATGGTCGTGTGGCTTCGTGCATGGTCGTGTGGCTTCGGGCATGGTCGTGTGGCTTCATGCATGATCCTGTGGCTTCGTGCATGGTCGTGTGGCTTCGTGCATGGTCGTGTGGCTTCATGCATGATCCTGTGGCTTCGTGCATGGTCGTGTGGCTTCGTGCATGGTCGTGTGGCATCGTGCATGGTCGTGTGGCTTCGTGCCTGGTCGTGTGGCTTCATGCATGATCCTGTGGCTTCGTGCATGGTCGTGTGGCTTCGTGCATGGTCGTGTGGCTTCATGCATGGTCGTGTGGCTTCGGGCATGGTCGTGTGGCTTCATGCATGATCCTGTGGCTTCGTGCATGGTCGTGTGGCTTCATGCATGTTCGTGTGGCTTCGTGCATGGTCGTGTGGCTTCGTAAAGTGGCGTCGTTGAAAATCGTATGGCGTCGTGTAATGTCATGTTCTGTCGTACAGGGCAGCGTGGTATCGTAATTGGTCACGTGACTTCGTAAAGTGTCGTTGTGGCGTCCTGCCGGACCTCTCTGGCGTCCTGCCGGACCTCTCTGGCGTCCTGCCGGACCTCTCTGGCGTCCTGCCGGACCTCTCTGGCGTCCTGCCGGACCTCTCTGGCGTCCTGCCGGACCTCTCTGGCGTGCTGCCGGACCTCTCTGGCGTCCTACTGGTCCGTATGGTATAACTAACCTGACCCACTATTGATTACTTAGTATTAATTACCCTTCAAGTATTAATTAACAACGGGCACACGAGTAGAGAAGTCAACACCCATATCAGAAGATATTTAGAAAAATGGAATAACAGAAAACAACGCACAACAGAAAACAATCCCTCCCATAAAACTATTACAAATCCACTGTGAGCTAACAGTATAAAACTGAAGAAAGAATAATTAAAAATATAATTAAAAATGGAGTGAAACCGACAGCCCCAAATAAAAGATTCGAATTCATTATTTACTACAAAACAAAAAGACTGTTGGTTTAATACTTAAGAACAACCCCAACAAACAATACAACCTTCTCCAAAAAGCGAACATGGTGTACCAGTTTACTGCCCCAGTGAAGGAAGTCACCTTCGCTCTACTTATATTGGTATGACCACCACAAAGCTTTCGTGAAGACTGACCCGCCATCTACAAGCTGCAGTGCCTCCTAGGAACCATATGTAAAGTGTACCATAACACAACACTCGCTAGGACCATGCTGGTAGACAATACAACCATCATGGCATCCAGTACTGACCAGAGAAGACAGCAACTCCTGGAAGCTCTACTCATAATAGAAAAAGAACCCACCCTAAATATACAAAATAGCGACTTCAAAACCTTGCCAATGTTCAGACCCAGACCTCACCATACAACACCTTGCCTACACTCAGACCCAGACCTCACCATACAACACCTTGCCTACACTCAGACCCAGACCTCACCATACAACACCTTGCCTACACTCAGACCCAGACCTCACCATACAACACCTTGCCTACACTCAGACCCAGACCTCACCATACAGCACCTTGCCTACACTCAGACCCAGACCTCACCATACAACACCTTGCCTACACTCAGACCCAGACCTCACCATACAACACCTTGCCTACACTCAGACCCAGACCTCACCATACAACACCTTGCCTACACTCAGACCCAGACCTCACCATACAACACCTTGCCTACACTCAGACCCAGACCTCACCATACAACACCTTGCCTACACTCAGACCCAGACCTCACCATACAACACCTTGCCTACACCCAGACCCAGACCTCACCATACAACACCTTGCCTACACTCAGACCCAGACCTCACCATACAACACCTTGCCTACACTCAGACCCAGACCTCACCATACATCACCGGATAACGATATCTCAACTGAATTCTCCCCGCCCACCGCCATACCCAGTGCTTGATTGGCATCCATCCCAATTATTCCCCCCATTTCTTCACCTTTGTGTGATTACTTCACCTTAGCCCCCCCCCCACACACACAACTGCCCCTTTCACATGCTTTATGCAGGTCGGCGTTCAATCCCGACCATCTAAGTAGTTGGGCAATATTCCTTCCTCTCATCCCATCCCAAATCCTTATCCTGACCCCTTCCAAGTGCTATATAGTCGGAATGCTTTCCCCTGATAATTCCTATCCTTTCTATATTCATTCCTTACTTGAAGATGTTTCAGAGTGGAACGAAATGTTGAAGTAAATATGCCATTCAATAATCATTAGAGCTAGTTTACCATGAATTTTGATAACTTGATTTATCTTCTCAATCCCGAGAATAAGAAAATAGAAGCATATAAAGCTTATATATATATATATATATATATATATATATATAATAGCCTCGGCTATCACCTCATTATGTCCGGTCGTGATGGTCAAGTGGATTAAGGCGTCTTGTACATACCAGTTGCGTTGCTCCTGGGAGTATGGGTTCGAGTCACTTCTGGGGTGTGAGTTTTCAGTTGCATATTTTCCTGGGGACCATTCAGGCTTGTTCGCATATATATATATATATATATATATATATATATATATATATATATATATATATATATATATATATATATATATATATATATATATATATATATATATATATATGTTTCATTGAATATGACCGCATATTCTGTATTTATTATTTTCTGGTTTAGGGCTTCTATCCCTCTAACTATTTTCTTAGCATCAGGGCTTAATTGGAATAGGAGTTCTCCAAAACTCATTTTCGTACTTTTAAGGTGAAGAAAAGAAGTGATTTACTATAGAGTGTATTACACTTATTTGTATAATTTGCACGACGTTTCGAACCTCCATGGTTCATTCTCAAGTGAACAATCTTACAATACTAGTTGATTTTATACCCGCATTAGGTCAGGTGATAATACAATGAAGGTGAAAAACATGGGGGGATACATAAGGGATAAACATAGGGGCTGCAGAAGGCTTATTGGCCCATACGAGGCATCTCCTATCTAAACACAAAGATTAATCCAGTGTAATTGGCCTGTTATGTTGGACATTGTCTTCTGTGTTGGCATCGATATGTTCTTGTCTTGTCCTTACTCTCATGGTGGGTAGAGTAAATAGTTCCGTGATTTGGGTGTTCATGGTAGGTCGCTCTATTCTTATGTGAATTGCCTCAAGAATTTGTAATCTTCTTGAATCTTGGGTTTTATCTATTATGCAAGTATTCTTGTTCAACATTTCTCTTGTTAGAGTAATGTCATGGGCTTGTCTCATGTGATTCCTAGGGGCACCAGATTGAAGATGGCATGTCAAACGCCTCGTCAGCTTGGTCGACGTCATACCTATGTACTTACATTGAAGGTTACATCCTTCGTGGGGCGAGTGTACATGTATACAACGCTTGACTGCTGTAGAGGGTTCTCCGTCGGCTTCGGGCTGTTTTTGATAAGGAGTTCGGAAGTCTTCTTGGTTTTGTAGAATATTATCAGGTTTATGTTTTGGTTAGGAGTAGTGCTTTTTACTCCTTTACGGATTATTTCTTTCATTATTCTTTCCTCTTTTATATGTTCACTGTGCATGGTTGATTTGTAATATAATTT